ATGTTGCTAAAAGACAAACAAACAAACGCTGGCAAAAACATAACCTCCTTGGCGGAGGTAAAAATTGTAATATTTTACTCGGTACAAATGTGAGTAACACACGTTACAATGCTTTTTAACCTGGATTGAAGTGGTGGGTTTTTCTTCATACAGCAGCAATGAAACACCAGAGACGCACCTGCATAGACCGTCAGGTGACTGCGAGCAAAGAACCAGAGCAGAACTCCACGCTTCACAGGGCTGAACGCAGCTGACGCCTGATCGCACCTTGCAGACACCCTGTTCCATGGACTCGGGGTTCTCTCAGGGGCAGAACTAGATTCCAAGTTCTATTCCTGGTTTAGACCTGGTTTAGTCCTGGTTTAGACCTGGTTTAGTCCCGGTTTAGTCCCGGTTTAGTCCTGGTTTAGTCCCGGTTTAGTCCTGGTTTAGACCTGGTTTAGTCCCGGTTTAGTCCCGGTTTAGTCCTGGTTTAGTCCTGGTTTAGTCCTGGTTTAGTCCTGGTTTAGACCTGGTTTAGTCCTGGTTTAGTCCCGGTTTAGTCCTGGTTTAGTCCTGGTTTAGTCCCGGTTTAGACCTGGTTCAGTCCTGGTTTAGTCCCGGTTTAGACCTGGTTTAGACCTGGTTTAGTCCCGGTTTAGACCTGGTTCAGTCCCGGTTTAGTCCCGGTTTAGACCCGGTTTAGACCTGGTTTAGTCCTGGTTTAGTCCTGGTTTAGTCCTGGTTTAGTCCCGGTTTAGTCCCGGTTTAGTCCCGGTTTAGTCCTGGTTTAGACCTGGTTTAGACCTGGTTTAATCCTGGTTTAGTCCTGGTTTAGTCCTGGTTTAGTCCCGGTTTAGACCTGGTTCAGTCCTGGTTTAGTCCCGGTTTAGACCTGGTTTAGACCTGGTTTAGACCTGGTTTAGACCTGGTTTAGTCCTGGTTTAGTCCTGGTTTAATCCTGGTTGAGACCTGGTTTAGACCTGGTTTAGTCTTGGGTCACTTCTGGTTCAGCTCTGGTTTAGTCCTCGGTTCAGTCCTGGTTTAGTCCTGGTTTGGTCCTGATTTAGTCCTGGTTTAGTCCTCAGTTCAGTCCTGGTTTAGTCCTCGGTTCAGTTCTACTTTAGTCCTAGTTTAGTCCTGGTTTAGACCTGGTTTAGTCCTGGTTTAGTCCTCAGTTTAGTCCTGGTTTAAACCTGATTTAGTCCTGGTTTAGTCCTGGTTTAGTCCTGATTTAGTCCTGGTTTAGTCCTGGTTTAGACCTGGTTTAGTCCTGGTTCAGCTCTGGTTTAGTCCTCTGTTTAGTCCTAGTTCAGTCCTGGTTCAGTCCATATACGGCACAAAAGTTCAGCATCTTTACAGTTATTTTGGTGAGAGTCTCTTAAAGTGCTGTAATAGTCGTGTAATGTTTTACATTTTAAATACAGTAATATTATAATGTAAAAAATGACTTTGAAATGACAGAAACAAATCATAAACAAATAACACATTAGAGTTTTAAAGTCACTTGTCCAACAGTGTTAACAGCACACATCAGCTCACCTGTTGTAGCTGCAGATAAATCAGTTCCTTCTGGTCAGATTGTGTTTAAATAAAGGTCAGATTAAGGTCGATCGGAGCTTCAGGCAGAGCAGTGCCTACAGTTAACATCACCTGTAAAGACTCTGTAGACCACACTGGACTTTACCATGAAATCTCCAACAGGTAAATTCACAAATGTTGAACGTGATCAGTAAATATGACGGACGTGCAGAATGTGTGATGACAAAAGGCGTCTGGATGTGGATCAGCACGACAGAAATGTGTTAAACGTGGCTTTAATTTAGTAAAAGTTCTGCACTGTGTCTTTAAAAAGCCGTTGTGGTTTAAGTGTGAGATTCATGTGAAAGAAAGTGCACACATGTGTCCTTCTGTGGGACGTCTGTGGAACACTCCCCTCCTCTCTCTCTATCTCTCTCTCTCCTCCCTCCTCCTCTCTCTCTCTCTCTCTCTCTCTCTCTCTCTCTCTCTCTCCCCCTTCTCTCCCTTTCCTCTCTCTCTCTTTTCTCAACTCTCTCTCTTCTCCTCATCTCTCTCTCTTCCCCCTTCTCTCCCTCTCTTCTCTCTCTCTCTTTCCTCCCCTCTCTCTTCTTCTCCTCTCTCTCTCTTCTCTCCACCTCTCCTTTCTTGCTCTTCCCTCCCCTCTTTCCCTCTCTCTCTCTTTCATCCCCTCTCTCTCCCCCCTTTTCTCTCCACCTTCCCTCTCTTGCTCTTCCATCTCCTCTCTCTCCCTCTATCTCTCTCTCCCTCTCTGTCTCTCCCCCACTCTCTTCCTTCCTCCTCTCCCCTCTCTCTCCTTCTCTTCTCACTCTCTCTTTTTCTCTCTCTCTCTCTCTTCCCTTCTCCCCCTCACTCTCTCTTCCTCCTCTCCTCTCTCTCCTTCTCTTCTAACTCTCCCCCTCTCTCATTTCCTCCTCTTTCCCCCTATTTTTCTCTCTCTCCATCGCTGTCTCTTCCTCCTCCTCACCTTCTCTCCTCCCTCTCTCTCTCTCTCTCTCTCTGCTCACCCATCCCCCCCTCTCTCATTCAGCACTTCATTCTGTCATTCTTTCCTCGAGTGTCCCCCTTCACACCATTCTTCTCTTGGAGCTTTGAATTTGTCTTTTTGGACTTTTCCTTTTTTGGACTTTCTCCTGCCCCTCTCTCTCTCCTTCTCTCTCTTTTCTTTCACCCCTCCCCCTTCTCTTCTCCACACTTTCTTGTTTATGTTGTTTAGGTGCTGATACTTATTTGACTACGTATGTACTACATATAAATACTACAACAAATACTACGTACAAATACTGCATTCAAAAATACTACTAAACATGTTTGAACCTCAGAATAACTCTTTGTCTCTCCTCTTCATTCCTTCTCTCTCCTCTCCTTACCTTTGAAAGCTGTCCTCTCCTTCCTCTCTCTCCCCTCCCTCCCGCTCTCTCTTGTCCTCTCCCTCTCCTCTCCTCTTTCTCCTTTCCTCCTTCTCTCCTCTCATCTTTTCAGAGCACTGTGAAAGCTGTCCTCTCTCCTTCCTCCCTCATCTCTCTCTCCTCCCTCTCTCCTCTCGTCTTTTCGGAGCACTGTGAAAGCTGTCTTCTCCTCTCTCTCCTCCCTCTCTCCCCTCCTCTCTTTTCTCCTCTTTTCAGAGCCTGTGAAAGTTGTCCTTTCCTCCCTCCCTCCCTCTCCTCTCCTCTCCTCCCTCTCTCCTTTCTCCTTTCTCCTCTCATCTTTTCGGAGCACTGTGAAAGCTGTCCTCTCTCCTCTCCTCTCCTCTCTCTTCTCCTCTTTTCAGAGCCTGTGGAAGCTGTCCTCTCCTCCTTTTCTCCTCTCTTCTTTTTGGAGGTTTGTGAAAGCTGTCCTCTCCTCTCTCTCTCTCTTTTCTGTCCTCCCTCTCTCCTCCTCTTTCCGGAGCCTATGAAAGCTGTTCTCTCCTCCCTCCCTCATCTCCCTCCCTTCCTCCTCTCCTCTCCTCTCCTCTCTCTTCTCCTCTTTTCAGAGCCTGTGAAAGCTGTCCACTCCCCAGCTCCCTCATATCGCTTTCCTCCCTCTCTCCTGTCGTCTTTTCGGAGCGTTGTGAAAGCTGTCCTCTCCTCCCTCCTCCCTTGCTCCTCTCGTCTTTTCGGAGCGTTGTGAAAGCTGTCCTCTCCTCCCTCCTCCCTTGCTCCTCTCGTCTTTTCGGAGCGTTGTGAAAGCTGTCCTCTCCTCCCTCCTCCCTTGCTCCTCTCGTCTTTTCGGAGCGCTGTGAAAGCTGTCCTAATTGAATGATAAAGTGTTCCGGGATGGAGAGCGCTGAATGGATCACAATGAACTGACTGTGTGTGGCAAAGAGAGGGATGAAGAGGAGGAGGAGAAAGAGAGAGAGAGAGAGGAGAGAGAGAGAAAGAGAGAGAGAGGGGGAAAATTTGGAGGCAGAGGGAAAGGAGGAGGAGAGAGAGGAGGAGACAAAATTGTACACAACAATTTGACAAACCTGAATTGATGTGCGGGAGTGACTTAGCACAGAGAGCAAAAGGAGGGGGGGGGGGCTCAGAGCGATAACAACAGAAGTAAACCTGATAAAGGACGCCACATTTCAGGAGAATTTGCCTGATTCAGGCTGCGATTTGCTTCTCCCCGAGTTTGAGGAGGTGTGACCCGACTTTGTGTGTTTGTGTACGATGTTGAAGCCGCTTCACTCCTCGTGTGTGTGTGTGTGCGTGCATGGACGTGTGTGTGTGTGTGTGTGACTCTTGAGCTGCTCTGTCTGATCATAACCACCAAATAAATCTGTCCAATTAACTGAATTTTGATCACAATTTCGATTTGTGTGTTAAACGATCTCCAAACTTATATCAGCGAGTTGAAACGATTTACGTGCAGGCGAAAGTGAGGACCGGGGCGCGACGACTGTAGTTTTGTGAGGATTTATGTGGCGCCCCTGCAAGCACTTGGTGTCGTACGCGTTGTCGGTAATGCGCGTAATTGGAGCTACAATACTGATTACATCTATGGACTTATGGAGTATCACAGCAGGACTCACATCTGCCTCACTACTTCATAGATCTTTCTGCCACTGGACTTATTTTCTCGTCTTCAGCGTTTACTCTGCTCCACATGTAAACAAACAGCGCCGTGTGATGACATCATCATGTCTCGGTTTGGTCGTGCAGGTGTGAGTGGAGAACATACAATCCACAGCAATCAGCACAATGTGAGTCACCATAAAGCAGGGGTGCCCAATACGTCGATCGCGATCTACCAGTTGATCGCCAAGGTCGTGTGGGTAGATCGCCGTGTCTTAGAACTCGTCTCGGACTCGATCGCGTTTGGACTCGGTCTTGTCTCTCACTCGAGGTCTGACACTCAACAAACGCACATCGTGACAAACACAGATGCATTTGTCACTTTTGTTAGACAAACTTCAGCCAAATGTGGCAGTAGGTCTGTTCTGTAGATCCGCTCTATGCTGTAGACCTGCTTTGTGCCAACACTGGAACACAAATTTAGACTGGTTTTTGCTTCAGGTTTCATCTTGCTCTTCTAATCAGCCGCACTGTGGGAGGGGCTTGTGTTCGCCGTACGCAGGAAGGAGCCAGAGCGTGAAAAGGCGAGGGGCGGCGTGCTGACGTGAGGCAGATGGACAGGTAGGATGTTTAGGAAGTTGAACCTGCCCTGTGATGCACGCTGGTACACGAGGGCACACGCTGTCGCAGACGAGCCGTGCGTAGGGAGCGTGTGTGTGTGATGCACCGTAGAGTCTCCGCGGGTTTCAAATGAGCGCACAGGCTGCACTGAAACGCCCCACACGTTCCAGCACCCCGCTACAAGTTTATTACCAACAGCAGCGGCCGTAATGAAATATGATCACACTTGTTGAGTGTCAAACCTCGAGTGAGAGACAAGACCGAGTCCAAACGCGATCGAGTCCGAGACGAGACACGGCGATCTACCCACACGACCTTGGCGATCAACTGGTGGATCGCGATCGACGTATTGCGCACCCCTGCTTTAGTTGACGTGCAGATGTCTGTGAACCATTTTAGCCTCATCTGAAACACAAACCTCAGCTTTTGAAAACCCCCCTCCCTCCTTCTTCCCTCTCCCCTCTCTCCCCTCTCTCTCCTCTCCCTCCCCCTCTCTCTCTCGTCTCATCCTCTCTCTTTCACGCACTCTTTTGGGGAGCATGCAGACGTAGTGAGCTGGAAGACCACCCTCTGACTTTCATTCATCTGTTTTTAGGTTTTTAAAGAGGAGAAAGAGAGAGGGAGGAACGGACAGAAAGAGAGAGAGGGAAAGGGGAGAGGAGGCAGAAGAGAGAGAGGAAAGTTGTGTTTAAAACGTGTTAATGCATAACCTTCCGTACAGAGAGGGTTACAAGAATCAAGGACAAACAAATTAGGAAAAAAAGTCTTTATATTTGATCCAAATTACAAACATTTTCTGAATTAAAAAAAAATTTCCCCCCATTCCGCTTCTTTTCTCCTGACTCTCTCCTCTTTTTTCTCTCTCCTCTCCCTTTCTTCTCTTTTCTTCCTCTTCCCTCACTCTCTCCCTCCTCTCGTGCTCCTCCTCTCCTCGCTCTCTCTTCCCTCTCTCGTCTTATTCCCTCCCTCTCTTCTCTCCCCTCTCCTTCTCTCTTCTCCTCTCTTTTCTTCCTCTCTCCCTCCCCTCACGCTCTTCCTCTTTTTGTTTCCCTCATCTCTCTCCTTCCTCTCTCCCGTTATTCCCCCCTCTCTCCTCTCCTCCCCTCTCCTCCTCCCTCCTCTCCTCTCTTCCTCTCTCCCTCCTCTCACTTTCCTCCTCTTCTTCTTTCCCTCTCGTCCTTCTCTCTCCTCTTATTCCCTTCCTCTCTTCTCTCCCCTCCCCTCTCTCCTCCCCTCTCCTCTCTCCCCTCTTTCCTTTTCTCTCCTCTCTCCCTTTTCTCCTCTCTCTTCCCTCTCGCTCCCTCTTCTCGCACTTCTCCTCTTCTTGATTCCCTCTCTCCTTCCTCTCTCCTCCTATTCCCTCCCTCTCTTCTTTCCCCTGCCCTGTCTCCCCCCTCTCTCCTCCTCTCTTCCTCCCCTCTTTCCTCCTCTCTCCTCTCCTCTCGTGTTCCTCCTCTTCTTGATTCCCTCTCCTCTCTCCTTCCCTCACCCCTCTCTCTTCTCTCCTCACCTCTCTTCTCTCCCATGTGCAGTTTTTCCTGTGATTTTCAGAACGTGATCATGTTTCAGAAATATGTGTGGAATGTTCTGCCCACCGCGTCTCCAGCCTCTGTTTATGTCCCACACATTTGTACAGCTCCAACTCTGTGCCGGAAATCCTACAACACACACCTGAGGGGCCGAAACACACACACACACAACATACAACACACACAACACAAAACACACACAAAACATACACAAAACATACAACACACGTTCACCTGAGGGTCCAGCTACAGCTACAGCTCCAACTGTACACCGGAAATCCTACAACACACACCAGAGGGCCCACAACACACACAATACACACACACACACACACACACACACACACAACACACAATACACAAAACACACCGGAGGGTCCAAAAGGCCTAAAACACCCAGCACACACAACACACATGTTGACCTGAGAATCCGCACACATCACACATCTGCTCCTGAGTATTTCTATTTTTATCTTTTCATCTGTCCATCCAACTACAACACAACATCTGGGAGGGCATCTGACACACAGGGACATGCAGCATTAGGACGGGAGGGCATCTGACGCACAGGGACATGCAGCATTAGGACGGGAGGGCATCTGATGTGTTTTGTAGTGGAACAATAGGTGTTGTTTTAGCCTCAGCTGACTGTGCCAGAGTTTGAGATTGTTTGTTGCTGACGCCATGAAACACACACACAGACAGAGAGAGAGAGAGAGAGACAGGGGGAGAGAGGGAGAGAGAGAGAGAGAGAGAGAGACAGGGGGAGGGAGGGAGAGAGAGAGAGAAAGAGAGAGAGAGAGAGAGACAGGGGGAGGGAGGGAGAGGGAATGACCCACTCGGGGGGTGTGGTGTGTGTGAGTGGTGTAGCAGATTTGCAGCCTCTCTTCTGTCAGTCTGCCCAAGGGCAGCTGTGACAACTTACAGTAACTCACCACTGAATGGAACAATGTGGAGAGTCTGTGAGAGTCTGGAGAAGTGTGAGATCAGTGACCACTTTCACTTTCACTTCAGACCAACACTCTATATGTGAAGAGATATGTGTATGTGTATATGATATATATGTGAATATTATATATATATATATATATATATATATATATATATATATATATATATATATATATATATATATATATATATATATATATATATATATATGTGTGTGTGTGTGTGTGTATATATACTTCCAGCTTCCAGCTCCATCTGACTTAGATTGAACTAGAAAAGCACTCAGAGAGCGCAGACCTCCGCCAAGGACTACCCCCATTTTTTATATAAATTGCGATAAAATCAGTCTTCTGGATCAGATCCGGATCAGCCTTTGGAATATGAAAGAGGATCCCATTGGCCATCCCTGAGTCAAATTTCATGGGGTTTGATCAATAATTAACCAAGATATTGAGAAACAAAATTTTTGGCCCCATTTACCACAATGTTAACAAAAAATTCAAAGTGATCCAGAATCCAGGATTTCTTCCGGATCACCCCCAAAATGAAATCAGTTCTTCCTTTTCACATTTCCAACAAATCCTGAAAATTTCATCAAAATCGGTCCATAACTTTTTGAGTTATGTTGCTAACAGACAAACAAACAAACAGACAAACAAACAAATAAACAGACAAACACCGGCAAAAACATAACCTCCTTGGCGGAGGTAAAAATTGTCCTCGTTTGCTCCTCTCCTCCTCTGCACCTCGTCTGTTCCTCTCCTCTGCACCTCGTCTGTTCCTCTCCTCTGCACCTCGTCTGTTCCTCTCCTCCTCTGCACCTTCTGTGTTCCTCTCCTCCTCGTCTGCACCTCCTCAGACTCAAGCTTATACCATGTTTTTGTTTTTATCACAACCCAACTGGAGCTTTATCTGACATGCACGGTTCTGTGTGACGTGCACTGTTCTGTGTGACATGCATGGTTCTGTGTGTAACGTGCATGCTCGAAGCCCTCACACACACGCGCTTACATGCACGCTCACATGCACATGTACAGCTCAGTGGATGAGTCCAGTACTTACAGAAATATGAACCATAAACCAGTTCAAAACACCTGCAAACTCCACCTGAGACTGTGAGCAGGTCTCAGGTTCATACAGACTCTCTGCATTGACGTCACACTTGTATGTTTTTCAACTAAAAAGTGAGAGTGACTGAAAAACTGCTGGCTAATGCGAGTGAGCGTGTGACCAACAAGCCTCAGATAGAGCAGTGCCTACAGTTAACATCACACCTTCAGGGAATGTTGATGACATCATTTGTTGTACAGTGAGCTCACGTCACAACTTCATACAAACTGGACTTGTGTTCACTACAGGCTGATGTGAGGATGCAGAGACAGAGACCATCACAGTGACTGTAGGACAGAGAGAGAGAGGAAGAGGGTCTGTGTTTGACTCTGGTCCCTTTGGCAGAGAGAGAGAGAGAAAGACATATGTAGAGAGACTGTCAGTGTCTGTAGGAGCAGGGAGAGCGAGAGATAGAGAGACAGAAGAGAGGAGGACAGGGTGTGTGTTTGGCTCTGGTCCCTTTGGCTGAGAGCCACATCTGGGCTGCTGCCAGAAGGGCTTTCCCCGCCACACCTCCACCAGCACACTACTCTCTCTCTTTCCCTCTCTCCTTCTCTTCTGTCTCTCTCTCTCTGTCTCTCCTTACACACCTCCACCAGCACTCTACTCTCTCTCTTTCCCTCTTTTCATCTCCTTCTCTTCTCTCTCTCTCTCTCCTCACACACCTTCACCTGCACACTCTACTCTCTCTCTTTTCCTCTCTCCTTCTCTTCTGTCTCTCTCTCTGTGTCTCTCCTTACACACCTCCACCAGCACTCTACTCTCTCTCTTTCCCTCTCTCCTTCTCTTCTGTCTCTCTCTCTCTGTGTCTCTCCTTACACACCTCCACCAGCACTCTACTCTCTCTCTTTCCCTCTCTCCTTCTCTTCTGTCTCTCTCTCTCTGTCTCTCCTTACACACCTCCACCAGCACTCTACTCTCTCTCTTTCCCTCTTTTCATCTCCTTCTCTTCTCTCTCTCTCTCTCTCCTCACACACCTTCACCTGCACACTCTACTCTCTCTCTTTTCCTCTCTCAGAATCTTTCTCTTCAGTCTCTCTCTCCTTCACACACCTCCATCAGCACACTCTACTCTCTCTCTTTTCCTCTCCTTCTCTTCTCTCTCTCTTTCACTGTCCTCTGTCTCTCTGCTCTGGATGAGTCTCGTCTTGTTTTGGTGTTATTTTGTCACTCAGGGTTAAGTGAGGAGAGCGCTGACTGTTGGCTCACCCCCCCCCCCCTCTTCCTCATCCTCCCTCTCTCTCGCTTCCCCCGCTTTGTCCCACTCTTTCACTCCCTCCTCCTCCTCCCGTTCTCTCGCTTTCAGACCACACTGGTTTATCTTTAGCTCAGTCCAAACTGTCGCTGGTCCAGGCACTTCCTCCTCCCCCCTCCCCTCATGCACAGACACAACACACAACTCACAAACAC